CTCCAAACCCTCTGCTGATACTTTCAGGACCCACCTGGCACTGTTTGTAGTTATTACAATATTGTCGACTATATTTCCTATGCGGTACTTTATATCCCTTTGCCTGTTTGTGACCAGTGATTTGTACTTCTCAATCCCTTCACCTCGTTCACCTAGCCCCCCAATCCCTTTTCCTTCTGGCAACTACCAGTCTGATCTCTGTATCTGAGTCTATTTTTTTGTTCATTTAATTTGCTCTTTAGATTCCACATATAAGTGAAACCATGGTATTTTTCTTTCTCTCCCTGACTTAGTTCACTTAGCATAATATTTTCTGGGTCTATTTATGCTGCTACAAATGTTAAGATTCCATTCTTTTTTACGGCAGAGTAATATTCTATTGTATATAGGTACCACTACATTTTAAGTAGACATCTAGTCTACTTATGGACACTTGGACTGCTTCCATATATTGGCTATTTGTAAATAATGCTGCACTGAACATGGAGATACATAGAGGGTGGGGCAAAAGTAGGTTTACAGTTGTTCCTATGGAAAAATAATACAATAATTAATGAATAATACAAGAATAAACTCTTGTGCTTCACATACAACTGTAAAACTACTTTTGCCCCATCCTGTATATTCTTTCAAATTAGTATTTCGGGTTTCTTTGGATATATTCCCAGAAGTGGAATTGCTGGGTCATATCGTAGTTCCGTTTTTTATTTTTTGAGGAAACTCCATATTGTTTTCCACAGTGGCTGCACCAATCTGTATTCCCACCAACAGTGCACAAGGGTTCCCTTTTCTCCACATCCTCACCAATACTTGTTTATTGATTTACTGATGATTGCCATTCTGACAGGCATGAAGTGTTATCTTAGTGTGGTTTTAATTTGCATCTTTCTGACAATTAGTAACATTGAACAGCTTTTCATGTCTATTGGCCATCTGTATGTCCTCTTTGGAGAAGTGAATGACTGGTGTCCTTATGGGAAGAAGAGAGTGCACAGAGAGATCCACTCAGGGAAGAATGCTGGTGCAGACAGAGGCAGGGCCTGGAGTGATGCAGCTACAAGGATGGCAATGCCAGGAGCCACCGGAAGTTAGGAAGAGCCAAGGAAGGATACTTCTCTAGAGCCCTCAGGGAGAGCATGGCCCTGAGGGAACCTTGATTTCAGTCTTCTAGGCTCCAGGCTGGCAAGAGAATAGATTTTTGTTGTTTTAAGCCATCCAGGAAACTAATGTACCTCATCTTATCTTCTCTGCCTGCTGAAATGTCATTATGGCTGCTTGAAAGCCAACCCCCTCCACCTTTCTTGACCCCAAGCAGAAGTATTTCTGCCACTGTGAATCTCCTAAGATACTTGTCACTCACTCTCTTATACATACTTATGCACAATTCCTCTCCTTGAGGAAGGCCAGTGCTAGGTCTTAAATACCCTGTCTTACCCAAACAACCCAGCATAGTGTGGCATGTAACAAGCAAATAATGAACGCTTGCTGGATGCATGAATGAACAGTATGTTCTCTTCTGCCACAGCCAACATAAATCCATGAGAATTTCTCATTCAGATTTCCCATGAATGAAATAGATTCTCTTTTTCTTACCTCTCTGTTTAGATACATCCATTTTTTTGGATAAAAAGCTAAGGAAACTCTATTTTGGCAAGCAGTAGTTCAGTCTCAGGACCAGTTCAGTTGTTGTTTTTCTTGCCTTTCATCCCAAGTATGTTAATTAACTAAGGCCTCACAAAGGTGTCTTACTACAGGCCCTAGAGACCAAAGATGTTTATTCATCTACAGAGCAAGGAGGGCACAGGTGCAGAGGGAGCCACATCTGCTTACTTTGAGATCAGCCTCAACTTGAAACTGCAAGACAGACACTCAGCCCTGGCTCTTGACTTGTCCAGACCAGCTTCCCATTGAGCTGCCATTCTGAGGTGGGGTAGACACAAAAGCCAGGCCAGGACACAGGTGGCAGACGCAGCTGACCTGGCACACCCAGCCATCTGTGGTCCAGTGGGCTTCGTTTCTGACCTCCAGCCCCACAGATTGCTCCACCCCAAGGTCCAGCTGCCACAGCTAGTAACACCAACCACCTTCCTGAGGGAGAGTGATACCTGGTGGTTGAAGGCAAGGGCTGTGGGTCAGACATGCCTGGGTTCAGATCCTGTCAATTATTAGTCATTCGACGCTATGATGCTCAGTCTTTTTGAACCTGGTTTTCCCCTTGTTTTCAGGGATAACAGTAATATCCACCACATAGGGTTCTGTGAGAATTCCATAAAATGATATTTGGAAAGCACTTAGCAGAGCATCTGCTACATAAGAAGCACTTATTGTAACTCTAGTTATTGTTAACATTGCCATTATTACTACCAGCTCTCAAATTCTCATGTTCATTCCAGATTGTGCACTTTCTCACCCCAATAAGGCCAATATTTATATACTCAGATGCCTCTTTTAATACAAATTATCTGTACAAATAGTGGCCGGCAGTATGATGGATGGGGCTGGGGATGGGAGCACTGAGGTTGGTTCCTAGCTCCACTGCTTATTGGGCGGGGACCTTGGGCTGAACGATTTCAGCTCGCATGGGCACTGGGGACTTACCGCTGCGTTTTTGGTGGGGAAAACATGCACTATGTCACACATGGTCCCCTTCAGGAGAAGCCACTGGAGAAATTCCTTTTAGGTTTCAGTGTCAAGGACTCCGGAACAAAATTTCAGAAGTCTGACCACGTGTAAATCCAATTGACCCTGTTTTCTTCTCTCCCACGGTAGGCAAGGAACCTCAGGGCCAAATGTGCAGCCCGCAACTACCAAGCGCACCCCGCACCTCCGGGCATACTGAGTGCCCAAACTCTGGTGAACCCTGTCATACGTTCAGGCGAACTTTTTACTGGTTTCTCCTTATTTTGCATTTGCCCCCATTTCCTCATTTGTTTTTAATCTTATCGTCCTCCACAAATATCTTTTAAGATTCCTGAAATCCTTTGTGAAATGAGCACAAATAACTACATGAAATGATAGAACAAGTCATTTTTCTTAGCCTCAACTTTCCCATATGCAAATAAGACTAAAAGTAATAGTATTATCCTTCACGTGTTGTTGGAAGATGAAGTGACATTGGGTATCTAAGAAGCACTTTGTCAAGTGTCATGCTCTAAGTGTAAGTTCACGGCCATTAGCATTTCATCTCTTTCTTTTAATCCTTATCTGAGGATATGTTTTTATTGATTTGAGAGAGAAAGAGAGAGAGAGCGGTCAAAGAGAAACATCTATCAGTTGTTTTCTGTATGCACTCCAACCAGGGGTCAAACCCATAACGTAGGTATGTGTCCTGACTAGGAATTGAACCCAAGACCTTTTGGCGCGTAGCACAATGCTCCAACAAACTGAGCCACCCAGCCAGGCAGGGCACACTTCATTTCTCTCTTTGCCTTCCACTTTCTTGAATGCTCAGCTCAGGGAATAAAAGTCATAGAGCTCATTGGGCATCACTCTGATCCTGCTCAGCAGCAATCTGGGGAAAAGGGAATCAACCATAGCAGTGAGGTCTCTTCATTTCTGTCTGCTTGGCAGCAACACTACTCATATGCCCTCCCCAAGCTTTGAGGTGGGCACAGAGCCACTGCAACACATGGGCCTGGGGACCAGCAGCCAGGTGACTGAGGCAGAACACTGGGTGGGATCACTCAGGCCAAGAATTCCTGCCTACATGTCCCTATGCTATTTCTCCCAGCTTCTCTGGGCAGGTGGATGTTCTAGCCAGCCACGCTCTCATACCTCATAAGAGTGCAATGGGGAGGAAGGGAATCTGAGAATGCTGATGGTAAGCCTTTCCTGGGGTCTGCTGGAGAGGTGGGTGAGATGTCACAAAAAACACAGGCCAAAGGCAGTGACTCTGGGGAAAAGGCAGAAACTTTCAAAGCACCTGAAAACATCTAGCATTTCAGAGTGGGTGACATCGCAGCAGGACAGCAGAAGTCAACCATGATGCTTTCGAGGCATGAGTGGCCAAGACTGAGAAGCTTTCTGAGGATAGAGGCAAAGGAAGGAAGATGGGAAGGAGGGGGAAGGGAAGGAATGAAGGACCGATGGTAAGATCAGTAGATGGAAACAGCAGTAGAAACTGGCAGCTGGTATTCTAGTCATCTTTTTTCATCCACCTCTGGCTTGCATCTTTTCAGGACAAAGCAGTTTTTATATCAACCCATTTTTCCTTCCAATGCAGAAGAAGCCTGTTGTTTAACAGTGTTTTAATTGGCCAAGAGCAAACTCAAAGAAAAACCAAAGGGAACTTAAAAGAAGGATCCCTGTTTATAAACAGGAACCAACATTGATGGGACACCCAGTGATGTGTCCCTTCGGGAACACACTAGATACTTCACATGGTATTTCACAAGTATAACCATCATCTCTTTGTGCAGATAAGAGAGAGGTTCAACACAGGAGGCTTTCATGCCAGAATTTAAATCTGAAGCCTATGGGTTTTCTAATGCCTATCAGGCCACTTTGATTCTTAAGAATTTTCTCCCTCTTGCTCTCTCTCTCTCTCCATTTCAAGGGAAATTCCACATTATGCTTTGGAAATCATCATTTTGGTCTTCTTCCAAAGAACTGCTTACAACATACAGTTCATTACATTTTAGAATGAGCCCTCAGCCGCCCATTCTGTTTCTCACTCACTCCTTCCCAAGCAAGGCTGTGAGAGCTGAGGACCCTGAACAGGAAAAGCCCACACGTGAGGAGCCCTGCTGAAGTGCTCACCGCAGAATCCATCGCCTTTGCCACCTTCCAGGTGGAGGAAATCCTCTGGGCAGGAAGGTCTGTTTTTAATCCTGTTGACTGTCATGGTGGTTATCCCTGTGGTTTCTTGCCCGGAGATAAGGTGAGGAACAAGGGACCGACCGGGGCCAAGGTGCCACTACCACCTTGAGAACGCATCCCTGCAAGGCCACCCGTGCCGCCCGCCGCCCTGCACCCCAAGAAAGCCGAGTGAGGAGGGTTACCTCGGTGCAGCACGATGTGGTCAATCATGTTGCGTTTGTATTTGGTGTGATAGAGGCAGAGAGGACAGCGAAGGTCTTTGGGGCCCTCCTCCGGTACTGCTGAATGCCCAGCTTCCACGTGCATAGTAAAAGCAGATCTGGGAGAGAGGTGGGGAGATGGGCCGTGAGTGTCAAAGGGTCACTGCACTCCCACACCCCCTGCCGGCAACCTTGCTGTGCAGCTTCCCCTTGTGATACCCTGGCTCGAGGGGCCAGAACCACAGAGGGTGAGCACATTTGCCGACTGTGAGTTCCCTGGTCACCCTCGCAGGAACCGCCACTGTCATGCAGCGATCTCTCCTTTTTGGAAATTTGGACATTTGGCTGCGTTCAGGACTTAGTATAAAAAGACAAGGACTCCCCCAGATACTTTATTCTTTTTTAAAAAAGGACAGTTTGTATAACATATATTAGTTATTAGTTTTAGGTGTACAGTATTCAACATTTCTATACCGTACAATGGGATCACCCCAATAATTCCACAAATCATCTGTCACCATGCAGACTGGACACAATATTATTGACTATATTCCCCTTCACCTTGTCACCAAGCCCCCCACCCTGTTGGTTGCTGTTTCTATGAGTCTACCAAACACTTTATTCTTGAAAATGAGAAACTGCCTGTTAAAAATATGACAAAATTCCTATGAGGATGTATTCTCATCATGCTTGGAAGGAGACAGACTGTTTTAAACCTGGTTGATTTACCAACTGCCGCATGCCTCTTCACAGGTAAGCCAGGAGGGCAAGTTGGTTAGGAAGTCGTGACGCTGATGATCAGGTAAACTAAACCCAGAGCTGTTGTATGGCTTGAAGGCAGAAGAGTGCTGTTGCCTCCTCCTTCATCTTTCTCAAAACTTCCCTATTTTACAAAGCCTTAAATGTCTCATAAAAATGGATGGAACCAAGAGCTGAATGGGCAAGGTCCTCTATTAACCCAAGTGCTTCTCTCTGGGGAAACATGCACACCTGTCAGTGGGCCTTCGTTGCCTTCTCCCAGTTCTAAGGTCACATACATATTTATCTGCAAAACAACTGAACCAAGTTAAGAGTCAGAGAGATAACACATTTCCCATCAAATCCAAGCAACTACGATGTTGCTGGAAAAGAGACTTGCTGTTCTTCCAATTCATGTTTTCTTTGGGCGAGAAGCCTACTTTCGCCAGCCTCTCCATGTGGAGTCTGCGTTAAAGTACTGCAGTGGCTGAAGGCTCAGGTCTTGATTGCAATAGGAGCAGATAGTAATAGCTTTATATCTGTAACATAGCATCTAATGTTATTATTTTTAGCCTTTTATCTATGATATAACATTTATTAGTGCTTACTTTGTGCCAGGCACTATTTTAAACACTTAGGTTGGTTCATTTATCCCTCACAAGAGCTCTTTGAGGTAGGTACTACTATTATCTTTATTTTACCGATAAGGAACCAGGGAGGCAGAGAGGCTTAGTGACTTGTCCAAAGTCACACAGCCAGTAAGGAACAAAGCTGGGATTCAAACCCAGGCAGTCAGGTCTCACATCCTATACTTGTAACCACTAACCTAATCGGTATGTCACAGGATGAGGTTAAATCACTGGAGTTTAGATGAAAGGACAGGAAGCACTCCATTCTTTCGTTCACCGATGCTACCACACACAGGAGCAAAGGTGACCATGGATTACCTTTTTTTAGATTGGAACTCTCTTTCTGTCATTGCTCATGTTTAGATTCCACAGTGCCGATAATCTTGATTCTCTGGGTTTTCTAAATAACATGATCTTAAGAAATAAGACTTTTCTACAAGGGTAGTGGGGAAGTCACTATTGCTGAATGCTTTCCCTTGACTTCAACTTTCTAGAACACATTTCCCCCCCCAAAGACAAATAAAAGGAAAGGGAGACAGTGATAGCGTTCTGAAGCGCAAACACTCACTGCTTCATGCACCGGGATGGGGAAATCCTTTGCCATGATCTCACACTGCTCGGCCGTCCTTTGCTTTGACTTTTAAACTCATTTGTTCTGATAGAGCTCTTCATCCCTTCACAAACCCTAAAGCAGTCTTCCCTAACTAGCCTTTTTTCGTAAAGACTGGACCCAACCTCTGCATCATCCTATGGGAAGGGGAGCCTCCCTTGAACTCCAGGTACGCCAGTGTAAGACGCGTGTGATGAGGGGCGGAGCAGGCGCAGCCACCTCGTTTTTTGAGGTTGTTTTTCATGCCACTTACTTAAAGCCTGTGTAAAAAGAGCAGTCTTTGCACTTGAAGAGCTTCTTCCCGCCATGCTTGTCCCTGTAATGGCGCCTGATGCTCTGGATGTAGCCAGAGGAGAATTCACAGAATTCGCAATGAAGAACAGCTTCGGTTTTCTGCTCAGCACCCCCAGCAGCTCCAGACAGAGGCACAGGGCTAACACGGCTGTTGTTCCTCGCCAGAGCAGCAGACTGGTAGTGGTTCAACTGCTGCTGAACATCTGGAGGCTCTGAGTAGGACGAGTCTGTAGACAGACAGGGAAATGACACCGGACACAAAACACAGTAGAGGTTTGATGCTTGAAACCCCTGACATTTGTTCTGAGTACTTTTTTTTTTAAGGGGATGGCTAAGAGCCCATCTTTCATCTTCATTTACGTTCTACAACACTTATCTGGGGAAAGGCAGGTAGGGAGGAAGTGTCACTTCTTTTAATCTGACTTAGAGGGCTCATATCATTTAAAAATAAAATTTGGAGGTTAAAGGTTTCAAAGTGAAGGAAGAAAGTAAACTTTTTAAAAAGGAAATTGCAGTGCGGCAACAGGCTGCCACAGAATACCAGCCTTTGTAGGTGAGATAAACACACCCCCATAATGTACATAGGACCCGACCGAGGAAGGCAAGTGGATGATGCAGTATCTCCCCATTTGCGGCCCAGAATTATTCAAACCCACCAAAAAAAAAAAGAAAAAAAAAAAAGAGTCTTTAACAGAAATGCTCAAGCACATGGCACGCACAAATATAAAAATGTTTTATGCCTTCACAGTCAAGCGATTTAAATTTTAAAATATAAAAATCCAACAGTGTTCCCTGGGAATGGATGTTTAAAGCTTAGTCAGCATTAAGATGGAGATTTATTCATAAATCCCATTAAAATGAAATTCCAAACAAGTTTCCCTGAAAGGTATTTTAAAGTTTGCCATCCGGAGGAAAATGTCAGAAATGACAGGCACAAATCTCAACCCCAAGAAGCTTCAATGGCATGGGGTGGAGAGATCAGACCTAAATGGGAGGAAAAACCTGAGTTTCTCCGTTAAATTAAAAAAATAAATAAATGAATAATTTTTTTTTTTTTAAAAGAGGGAAAGTAAAAGAAAGGTTTTGAACATTTTCCTAACGTGCTGCTTTGAATGTTGAGGTTAGGAAATCAGCAACATGGTCCTGTATAACCTACAGCTGCTTCTGAAGGACATGATGAAGCCCATGAATACCACACAGATGAATTTCAGTGTAACTTTCCTTGAAAAGAAAACAAAGGGCTCTTTTCTTAAGCCTTTCAAGAAGCAGAGGGGAAAGGGGATAGAAACTGTACCAGCCTCCTCCTGATTTGATGGACACTTAATTTTCCAAAGCACGATTCCCCCAGGCAGGGCACGAAAGAATTCAGTAAAACTCGTATTTGATGAAACTAGGACCATCCATCCCGTTGGCCTCTTCAAAAAGGAAAACACAATCAGAGCAGCCTCCTGTGCTGGGAGGGCACCTCCTGCCTTTAAAATACTAAACTACTTTCTTCCCTTCTTGTCCTGCTCCCCCCACCCACCACCCTCCAATTTGTATTCCTCACGACAGAGAAGAACCCCTTTGGAAATTGTAAACAAGTCTGCCACACACACAAAAATAAAACAAAAGGAAAGTTGAACAATATCTCTGAACCTCCCTGGGTTCATTACCAGGTGTAAAGTGAAGACAAAGGGAGAAAGGAAGGACACAACTGAATTCATTCTCCCTGATTCTTTTATCTCCCTTTTCTTTATTCCTCGACCTCGCTGATGAATCCACTCAGGATCACAATAATGCCATTGTCAACTTCTCATTCTTTCTCTCAATAGCAGGTCTGTTTACCATTTCATGGATTGTTCGGAGATGTTTTCTATTTAAGCCCTCAAGACTAGTTTCTGCTTAAAACACTGGCACAATGAAACCTCAAACACACCCCGCCTCTCTTGTTAACACAGGCCTGAGCTGCGGGCTCGCACTGTAACACCAACGTCACTGACAAGCCCAGTCTCCTCTCTCAGTGCTTGTCCTGGCTTCCTCTTAGCTCTTCAGAATAGAAATTCTGTGACCAGGGAGGCCAGAGCCAGGTCCTGTTGCCTGTGAGCTGTCCATCATCCACAAATCTAACCAGTAGATCCCTCCAAGGGAAGGCACCGTCTTCGGCTGGACACATTTTTCTTGTCTCTAGGGTTCATAGCATATTATTCCATTCATCTCAAAGAAAAAAAAAGAATTCTGTATTTTAACTCCAGTAATTCATATGTTACGTGAAACCTGAAGAAATAAAACCACACGAAGTGGTGGGCAAAGCATTCCAAGGAAGGAAGGGTCCTCCTCACTGTTCTGAAATGGCAACCCAACAGGAAAGGTGTCTGTATCCACATTATAAACTCTTTCTTCCCCTTGTTAAATCAGATGGACAGGCTTATTTACAAAAATAAGCAAATCTCACCACTTCACGATGCATGTGTAATAACGCCTGGGTTACAGGTTTTGGGGTCTTCTTAGAACTTTACTTGCCTCCCTGATGCAAAGACAAACACGCTTTCTCTTTCACTTGGAGTTTGTGAATAATGTACAACTTTGGCACTAAAGTGACATAGACGTGTATGATTCCACCGATCCTTACCTGAGTGTGTATGATTCCAGCAATCTTTAAAGAACCTACTTGCTAAGCTACAAAATATTCTAGTTTGTTCATCAAGCACAGGCTGAAGAGCAGGAACAGGGCCGTTCTGTGCTCAGGTTAGAAAACAAGCTGACTGTTAGTTGTGAAGGCCATGTTATCTAAGTTAAAAATCATTAAGAATATTTTCGTAAAGGAAAGGAAAAGGAAAAGAGTCTGTGCTTGGAGCCAGACTTGTGGTCAGGAGGAAATACAGCAGCAGAAGCACAGGAGTGTGAATCCAGTGGGAAACTCTGTCCCCAACTCCAGGTCACGCAAGTTACATCTCTATCTCCTGTAGAGAAGGTGATACCCACAAAGGAACCAACAGCAAAAACCATAGTTGGTCCAGACATTCCCAACCCAACCCTGGGACGTGCAGTCGCAGAAGAGACTTTAATTCTCAGACTTGTGACTTCATTTATGTGCAAAATTGTAGGAATTAAGTTATAACTTATAATTACAGTTATAAAATAAGTTTAAGTAAGTTATATGTAGTTATCTATCTGGACAATTGTCTACAATCGGAAAATTAGTATATTTCGTAAAATCGGGATCAAACTAGAATTTTAGCATGGATGGTGGTCAGAGTGGCCGTACGTGGGGGTCTGGGATTTACTGAGCAGCCAGTAATTAATTCTCACAACCATGGTGAGCAATGTAGGTTCTCACCCCAACTTTACCAATGAGGTCGCCCAGGCTGAGAATGATTGGTCACACAGCTCCTAAGAGGCAGAGGTAGATTCCGAACAAAGATCTGCCTGACTCTAAGGTCCGAGCCTTGTCTACCAGGCATCTATACCCAATGCTGACCCCTGGGGTCCCATGATGCAAGTCAGAAGAACAAGAAAGAACATCTGAGTGTTCCACTGGCAATAAACATACAGCAGAGAGGACAGAGAGAGAAGGTGGTAGAAAGGCCAAAATAGTTGAACACATAGAAATGACAACAGAACAGATAACAATAACATTAAATTGAACACAAAGGACAAAACTAAAAAAGCATATAGGGAAAAATAAAGTAAGATTCATGGGAAAGAAAAATATTCAAAATTTCAAAATGCTTTCTATTTAAAAAAAGTGTGTGTATGTGTTGGGGGGTGGGGGGAGGCGGGGTGGACCACACAGGAGACATTTCTACAAGCATGCTACACAGGTAAGCACGGGGGGTACCCAGAACTGGAAACCCGCCTGCCCAAATGGGGTGCTGGAGTGAGATGTTTCATAAATTACCCTAAAAAAATAATGTTCTAAAATTCCTGAGGTGGGATTTGGCTGGGAAAAGAAAGGTACACAAATGCAAATGGGAGATGGATGTTTTCAGGTGGTTCTCAGACAGCCCAGGATTTCAAACCAGGGGAAGGGCTGAGTTCCAGATGAGGCCTCCCATCCCTCGCGCTTAGTCGTGTTCCCAGAGAAATGGGGAACTCCTTGCTCTAATTCCAGCCAAACCCAGGTAAGTATAAGTTTGAAGGTTTTTTTTTCTTTCCTTCTCTAGAAATTAGTCAGCACAAAAACAATCATAGGAAATCTGATTTTACAAAGGCAAATGACAAACAAGTGAATTCGTAAGCATGGCAGAATGAAGCTTTCTCGGATATTCTGATTCCACAAATATTTAGCCAACACCTTCTTGGTGCCAGGCCATGTACTGGCTCTGCACGTTCAAAGTCAAAGAAGATGTGAGGGGTGCCTTCTAGGAACTCAGATCCACCAGTGGCAAGAGCAGAGCAGTCGGGTGTTATGAAAATATAGTCCTACTCCAGGTCTAGCAAACTTACTCCATTGACTGAAGGAATAAAAGAAGCAGAGAGAACAAATGAACAGTAACAGGAGAGTTTAACTATTGAAAGATTAAGGAAGACACAAGGAAGAGTAAGAATCAATTTGGCAGTAAATTGTAGGAGCTGCAGAGGAATGCCCCCTTATGCACGGAGTGATCCAAAAAGGACACCATATAGGAGGATCAATTCTCAATTTTCTGCAGACGCATAGAGGCTGTGAGTGAAAAAGTAAAAGTGCCTTGGTGCCAGCAACACCATTTAATTATATTTGAGCTAGATTTTGGTGCAGACTTGGGAGACAGGCTCTTGGGTCAGTGTGAATCAAGTACCAGGAGAAAAATAAAAGACAAAGAGTTTTAGGCAAGCATGTTTTAGAGGTGGCCAGGCGGCAAATGATTTAAATTATACCCATTCACTCAGCAAATATTGACTGAGTCTGGGACAGTTGGACTTGGTCCTTGACTTCAAGCAACTCCCTGTCTCAGACAGATGTGTAAATAACTGATTGTGATACAATGTGAAAAAAAAAGTCTTAATAGAGACATCTATACAGAGCTAATGGAGGATAAAGAAAAATCAGCACTTGGTGATCTGATGGAATGTGGGCATGAGGGAGAGAGAGGTAGGATAAATTAACCAACAGTAGTCAGTGTGTTAATGAAATCAAGACTAGACATGGAGATACTCAAAAGTTCAATTCACCATACTTCCACCTTATGTCATAAATCAATATTAAAACAGCTACATTCTTATCACAATGACAAAAAAGTAACTTAATTACAGAAAAGAAATGAAG